GATCGGGACGTTTTAATTAAGCCGATGGGGTGCGTTTCACCCCCGCGTGCCACTTACAAATGGATTAGTCTGGGATACGTTCGATTCACTCGACCGCAAATCGGCCCCGTCGACCGATAGAGCGAGTTTTATCTTATCCCGCAGGAGCTTGCCGAGGTCATAAAGGACCTTAGCGCAATGGCCGAAAATTCATTTTTATAACGTGTCAGTATTGTATTCAGAATTAGTCGCAATTGAAAAATAAATAAGAGGTGTTACTCGGAATGATTAATTTTTATATCCTAATCATTGGAGATCGCACTTAAAAAATACAAAGCAATATAATCCTCTCCTTATGTGAAGCGATAGATATCTTCAGATATATACTTTTAACCTGGTCTTGTTTACCGATAAATGTGATTACATTTTAATATAACTGGTGTAACCTGTGATTTCAACATTTCCGGCCATTTCTAAAGTTTTATCTACGCGTATAATAAAATATCGACCGTCATCCAAAGTAGATTTTAGTTAACAATTTGATTACACTCAAATATTTTATTGCAATAAAGCCAACCATTGATACTCTACGAGTTCATATGTCTGAATTAAAAATTAACTTGAAAGGGGCATGTTACGGATATTTACAAAGACAAGTAAAAATAAAAGACATGAAAAGGGTTGGTTAATTAACTGTAAAATTTAAACTGTCGACTATCTGAATGGATATTAAATGAAACTACTTTACGGATTTTATCGCGTTTTTTATTTTAATTTAAATTCCCGACGTTTCGAACCCTTTCCAGCGTTCATGGTCACGGGACAGACTAAGTTGTTAGACGTCTTGATGTCATAGTTAACCCCGGCTACCGTCAATTATTTTGTTTATTTTTATTCCGATCCACGCAGAAGGACCGCTACATACCGCTTGTAAAATCTAGGTTGAACGGGTGCTGTTTGAAGGGCCTTCTCCTCAAAGTCTTCCATAAATATGTCTGCGACAATGGGAGATACTGGGCAGCCCATTGCTACACCATCCAACTGTATGTAGAATTCTTCCTTCCACAATAGATAGCCAGATGTGAGGCAATGTTTGAGCAGTAATGCATATTCTATAAGCATGTTGTTATCCTTAAGCTAAGCTTACAAGCGGTATGTAGATGATACTTTCACAATTTTACCATCAGACAAAGTAAATGCATTTCTAAACCACCTCAATTCCTTACACACTAAAATTACATTCACTATGGAATTAGAGACATGTAACTCCTTAGCCTTTCTAGATGTATTAGTCATCCGAAATCTTGACAACACCTTGAACCATACTGTGTATAGAAAGGAGACCCATACAAATAAATATTTAAATGGTGATTCTCACCACCACCCTTCACAGTTAGCTACTGTTGGTAAATGTTTGTTACAGAGAGCACGAGGGATCTGTGACAAGGAACACCTGGCCGCTGAGCTACACAATGTCAAGCAAGTACTGCGTGACAACAAGCTCCAAATCCCGCGCCTGCGTCACAGTGACCGAGTGAAACCGGCCACAGTCGAGCGAGTGCCTGCTGTATTGCCATATGTCAGAGGAGTCACTGACAAGATTGGCTATATCTTGAGGCGTGCTTCAATTAAAACATATTTCAAGCCACCGAAGAAGATAAGTCAATTTTTACCATCTGTCAAGTGTAATATCCCTCAACAGGATCCAGGAGTGTACAAGCTTGACTGTGATTGTGGGCTCTCTTACATAGGACAAACAAAACGATCAATTAAAACCAGAATTAAAGAACACATAGCTGACGTGAAGCACCGACGGTTGAAGAAGTCTGCAGTTTGTGATCATATTTTAGACCGCCCCAACCACTACATTAGATTTGATCAACCGAAAATCCTCGCAAAAGAACACCGATTCCTTCCAAGGATGATCCGCGAGGCTATTGAAATAAAGAAACATCCTATTTTCAATAGAGAAGATGGTTGGAGTTTATCATCTGCTTGGGATCCCATAATTTATAAAATTAAATCCAAGCACACCAACACTGCCAGACCTGAAGATACCATAAGCTCCTTCTGCGTGGATCGGAATAAAAATAAACAAAATAATTGACGGTAGCCGGGGTTAACTATGACATCAAGACGTTTAACAACTTAGTCTGTCCCGTGACCATGAACGCTGGAAAGGGTTCGAAACGTCGGGAATTTAAATTAAAATAAAAAACGCGATAAAATCCGTAAAGTAGTTTCATTTAATATGTATAATATTCGCGTAAAATCAAGAAAACAATATCTGAATGGATTTCATTATTCCAATTCACTGAGAAAATAATGTGTGTTTAAAGCAAGTTACAAATACACAAAGCTCGACTTGAAATGGACACATATTCAAACTAATCCCTAATACATTAATAAATTATTGAATATTATTAAAAATTAAAAATATAAAGTTCAATGCTTTACTTTTAAATTACTTTTACTAAACATAAAAATTGATCTAATTTAATAAATACATTATATACTTAACCACAAAATGAGGAAAGGTTTCCTATTTAAAGTCTCACATATCTACTAGGAGCACATAACACTGTCAATGGTCCTTTAAATAGAAATTAATTGTTTGGCATTGTTCGCAAATTAATACGGACTCATTGTAATTCCGTATGTTAAATGCCCTTAACAGACACTGTATACAGTAGTTAATGCGCGTCTAACCTGGTATTAACCAACACAATGCTCTAACTATTCAATTCAACCCATAATTGGATATGCTGAAGCGTTAATTTCGATTCGCATTTGTCAATTATTACATTAAAGAGACATGCGTTGTGCGGTTTAGTTCTGACAAACACGGCTACATCAGTCGTTTCCGTTATCCAAAACAACCGTGTCGCTATGAGAAATATAAAAAAAGTAAAAAGTACACAAAGAAGTCTCGGCTCCTATTTTGATTAAAAGTACAACTACATCAAAATTTCTTTATTCAACATAGGCTTATTTTAAGCTCTTATTGAACGTCAAAAACTACCTTTGTGAGGTACATCCTATTACTCGAATGTAGATTTTGGATTTTTTCATGATACTTCCAACATCGATAATAGTGAATCTACACAAATAAATAAAATTGGAGTGTCGGTTTGTGATATTCAATTTTTGTCTGTCTGTCTGTCTGTTTGTTCCGGTTAATCTCTGAAACGGCTGGACCGATTAGGACGGGACTTTCACTGGCAGATAGCTGTAGATGTAATAAGAAGTAAGTTAGGGTACTTTTATTTTAGTTGATTTTTACTTATTCCACGCGGCCGAAGTCGCGGGCACAGCTAGTTTTAAATAATTACGTTCCTAACATCAATTAATTTGAGTGCTATAATATCCTTTTTTTCTATAATGCTATAATTTCCTTAGGGTTGCCATCTTTTAATAAAGTGGGTCCCGTTTACCTCACCCTCGGGACGATACGCAGAAGTGTAATATTTGTATTTCACACCTGTCTTTTTTAAGGTCATGGGACCTGCCCATTCATGCAACAGAAGACTGTTGCGTGGCCCTACCAGAGACCTACAAAACAAGATTAAATCTCGCTCGAAAATAAACAGAATCGGTTTGGTTTCGCTTGAATTTGTGCATTCGATCTTCATCTTTTACAACATAAAACATTTTGATGACGTGCTCTAGCCGCATGAAATGCTTTACCGTCGACGTTCTTATGTTAAATCTTTCACTAACGCTTTGAGCGTAATCTGATCAAAATCAAACCAATTTTGCGGAGTAAAAAGTTTGGTACGAGTAGTTGGCGAAGTTAATTAATTTGCGCTCTAGTGCAGTGCGGTCGTGTATAAATCGATCGGCTGCTATTGTCGTGTGAGTTTGGGCGGCCGCGCGCGAGTACGGACTAAGTCGTACCATTAAAAGATTTATTCCCGTTTTGAGCATCGATCCTTAACTGTAAGGGAAACCGAAACAAGTTTAGGTGCTGGTTTCGTTCACCATCGCTTCAGTGCTACACTTAAGAGTTTTGGTGACACTTTTTTAGGTGTCCCTTAAAGTTAGGGTTCGATGGTGAAAACGTCCAATACCTGTTCTAAACTCAGTCAGCAGCTTATACTGTTGCATGCATGAGCCGGCACATCCAGTTAACTGCTCTGACTTTGCTAAAGACCTGAGTAAATATGTAATATAATAATAATAACTTTTGGATTTTGTTTACGTACAAGGCGGTAATATAAGAAAATAAAGTGACTTTTTTGCCACCTTTTCGCATAAAAAGTACGTTGCAAACAACGAAACGGTTATAAGATAAACATATTTTAAGTTTTACGAGGGACACAACTGCCACCGGCTGGCTCTCATGAAGGTATTAGTTCAGAGCAGTGATGCTGGACCCTTTTTTCTTAAAACTTTATTTCTTAAATTAATTTTTTAAATGATAAAAAAAAATACATTTAAACTGGAATTATTTACGACAGAATATGCACTTTTATATTGAAAGTGACCAAATAGCCTTACCCTTGTTATTGATAATGCGGTGATTGTAAGAAATCGGATTAATTACTGAACAGTTTCAGAACCATTGTTTACAAATGTTGATTTTTAGGATAAGACGAATGTATATAATATGTATACGGTGAAAGAGTTTCAGTTTTCGGTTTTTTTCCGCACTACAGTCAATAGAGGTTTCATCAATAATTAAGACTAGAGTCCTTAAGACTGATCATCGCAAACGAACACAATTAGGTAATAGGGAAAATTAGAGAGCCAATAAAAGTCTCTGTGTGATACAAACTTTCATCGACTGCAGAACTTGTGATGTTGGACTTTGTAATGTGATTTACTTATTAATTATTTTTTCAAATTTCCCTTACTGTAGGATAACTTTATCCTGTGTTGTAAGGCCGAATCCGAAACGTCACACAAGTATTTGTCCCGTGTCGGAGTGGAGTCCACGACCCCAGCGCCGAAGCTGTTACGTTGGCAACTGCGCCACGGAGTTATTAGCCTTGGCGGCGCCGCTGCAGTGTGGACCTCACCTGTTGTGGGCCCTGAAGGTGAGGCGGAGGGGCTGCGGGGAGGGTGGCGCCGGCGTGTGCTGGGGCAGCGAGCGGCGGCGTCGGCTCGCCGTCAGGGGCTCGTACTCCGCGGGCTGCCAGTGGCGGACGAACGGCGTCAGCGACACCCCTAAGAGGGATAAATGTACTATTGAGAACGCAGTTTCGTTATTAGTTATAGTTTTTTATGTTTAACGTTGGCAAACGACCAGGCGGGTCGACTGATTTTAAGTTAACGAATTAGTGTCGCTCTTGAAAATCTGCAACACCAGAAGGGATCCTCTTCGTTGCTGGTATGTCCGTGGGATGGGAATAGTGCTCTCCGGTCATCCGGGTAATCTCACTTCACGCCGCTCTTCTGCGTGGCAGTGGCACTTCTCCGGACGAGCCTGCCCGTTCTTGCAACAGCTGAAGCTACTGCGTGCCTCTATCATACATTTTTTTCATTCGGATATTCACCTGAGAGCGATCGGTTTCATTTTAGAAATGAGTAAGATCGGAGAGGGCAGCCGCCATAATTATGTGACAGTTGGTGAGTCTCTCTGACGTCAGACACAAACAATACAGTGCGATTTGAACGGAAAAAATTAAAAAGTCTGGTAAAGAACTCTGATGAAGGCCCGTGATAACTCAGCCGCAGGTTTTTTACATAAAATTGCGCCTATATAAGAAAGCAGTTTTATAGAGGTACGAAATAAATAGTTTACGAAGTAGTAAAAGGTTCAATTCGCTCTAATAATTGAATTGGCCCAATACTGACCTGACCTGTGACATTCAAAGTTGCGATTTGGTGTAAGTAAAAGTTTCTAAATCCATTTTGCGTTGGATCCTTTCAGGCGCTTCACCTCAAGCGTCATAACAGAGGTCAAATAGATAGATTATTTGTTATAACGAAATTGCTCAGATCATGTCAATATTTGGCCGAAATATTTATTAAAAAAAACACTTAAGTAAACGTTACATATTTAATGTCCATAAACCTTGAAGAAACTTTACTAAACTCGGCTGACATTATTGAAAAAGAAAAAAACGAAATTTATAAATGATATCAATAAGATAAATGTTATCTTGCCGTTATTAGTTTTAGTTGGATATCTGGAAACTGGATACCTATGTTGCGATACCGTTACCGTCTTACCGTTGTACGTTACATTTGCGATGTATAACGACTCATTAACCTTCAATCTCGCAACAACATATTGTAACAATAAGTTGCCGTCTAGAATAACCCGGTACATATCTTCCGCACTACTAATTGATTTGTTCAAGTCGAGCCAACTAAAACATACGCCATTTTGTGAGTCAAGTAAACCACAATGCATCAGTCAGCCTTTCCTGAGACAAGGATATAGCAATGTGTTCAAAACTTCAGATGAAAATGTAAGTAAGCGCAATAAAATTGAAAAACGTTTTTTTTAACTATGTGAAGTAATCGTGAAGAAACCAATAAAATTGGAATGAGTTAACGTTATCTTCTTACATGGTATCATTACGACATTTTAATTATATAAGAGTGAACAGATCCTCAGTAGATCCTAGTTTCATTTGTGTCTCATTAACTCAATTTTAATAAAACGATTAAAGATAATTTGGCACAAAAATCGATAATCACGGTGCGTACAAAATACGATTGACTTTAGATAAGAGAGTATGAAATGTAGAGTACAATAGAAAAGAGAACAAAAGTTTTATTTCAATGACAACATTGTAGCACAAGTTATATATTAAGTTCGCAGTTCAGTGCCACTTGTGAACATCGCCGCAAACATGAGTGCGGCGGAGTTGCGAAGTTTGACATCGACAGGGTTATGCCTAACTAGGCGGCGTACCTGACAATTTGATCATCGGTAAGAATTTCAGCTGCACAACATTTACTTGCTTCTCTTTGCCGCCTCAAAGTCTGTGATAATGAAGTATAGAAATATATAAATTAAGTTATTATACGTTAAATTAAGATGACCCTGTATGTACGTAAATGAAGTTTTAGTAGTGTTGTGCACGAGGTAGTTCTCATACATAACAAAACACTCCTTGTAGCGATTTCGTACTTCGTTTATATAGTTGTCCTCATTTACAAGTACGGTGAACGAGTAAGTAAAAAAAAGGAAGGGCCCATAAAACAACGAAAACGAAATTTATTGTCTGTTTAAAAGGAATGTAAAACTTATCTTTTTTTGCTCGAAAGTAATAACCTCTTGTGAGAATAAGTGCTTTAACAGAGCAGTTCGATATTTCGTTCGCTCTTTGTTATGTTAGTTCATAACGAAATCTTTTAATTTAAGACTTCCACATTTTACTGATATAATTCATTCGTCATTATATTTCATTCGCCACTGCGACCTAACAACGCAAATGAAGCCGAATAATAAATTGGCATTGGTTTTATTGTTGGCCCTAAGCCCTTGTTACAAAGTTTACAAAGACCTCTGCATTGTTCAGATGGAAATTAATTGGATTTGTATACCGCAACAATAAACGGTTCAATGAGTCTTCATAATTTTTTAATTAAATAAAGTACATTGTTAAAGTAATATGGGAGAATGAAGTGCAGAATAAAATTGCATACTATCAAATCAGCACCTGTACCCATGAACAGGGAAAATAATTATTTTTTTATGTGAGAAGATAACAAGCGCGCTGGCTGTTAACTTATTGGTTATGGCAAAAATAAACTAGAATTGTCATCACTTGATTTAAGCAGTGCGGTTATTTGAATTTGGATTATAAAATTGTTACTAGACTGGCGTAAGGTATAACCGTTTAATTTTTTTTTCACTTTTGCATTTAGTCAGGTGAGTGAGATTGCTGGGAATCTTCCTTCGTGACTTCAATTGATGATGCGAAATTGATCGTGAACATGAACGGCGATGATCATTCTTCATCAGGTGAACCACCCGCTTGTTTGTCTTTCTCCTTTCACAGAAAAAATAAAATAAAATAAAGTACTAATTGTTCTTGCTTAGAATTTTCTTCAACAAAGGAGGTGCTCGATTGGGTTGTATTATATGTTTGTTAACTCAGAACTTCGTCATTTATGAACTGATTTTTGAAAATTGTTTTGGTTTAGCTCCCATTTGGTCCTATATTAAATTAATTGGTGTTGGATTTTGGATACATCAGTGAACTCAAAATCAAATATGAAATGTGTAGTCAGTGAGTATTTAGTCGGTATAGTTTTTGTTAATAAAAATATACTTTCTTTTATTTAAAACTCTTCGATGCCGCGAGTTGTAGAGGTTAATTACGATCAGCGTTGGGATAAAATATGCAGCAGCTTTCGAAGGGAGCAGGGGTGAGCACAAATGATTAAGTAATGGATCTGGACGGCACAGCTAGAGTGGTATTTGCATAATGCATTCTTTATCATACAGATTGAGGATATTTAATTAGGGCATACGGTAGCTTTTACTTCCTTTGGCTTCACTAACGGCGTATAAGAAATGGTGAAAATTTCTGAATTGAAGTGTTCTATTGCGTGCCTTGGTAGTAATGAATGTTAATGTTCATAAAGGGGAAAAATATTCGTATACTATTTATAGATAAAATAAGAATGTACAGAGTACCCACTATTTTTGGCAGTCCACATTAGTTTCAAACACATATTCCAAAATATATTACAGGCTAGGCTCACTGAACGAGATCTTACTCACTGCGGCACGGTATGATAAGATTGCCGGTTCAAATTGCAATTTATGATCCCCAAATCGAGTATGGAGCTAGGGTTGCATCTAATTGGAAAATCCGGGCTATATATCGCGGGCTAGTGCCCGGGAGACCGCGAGAATTTATGCGCCAGGGAAATATGAAGTTCGCCTCGATTAGAGGCTGGAGTTACTGTGGTTTCTTGAAAATTTAATACCTCGAGCAGTTGCCGCATGACTTGCGACCGGTTAATGAATTGATATCCCAGTCATTTATAGTTTGATTATTATTCGTGTCAATATTGTAATACGTTGTTATGAAAAGAAAATTTATTTTTAATATTAACTGCGGTAGGACCACGCAACAATGTTTACTGTTGCACGAATGAGCGGGGCCGTCCGGGTAATTAAGACGACCTCACAGAAGACCGGCGTAAAGTAGGAGTGTTACAACTTCTGCGTTTCGTCTGGTGAGTGAGGTAGTGAGGTAGTTGCCCATATATTCAAAGGTGGCAACGCGTTTGCAACTCGACAAGGGTTGCAAACGCGTTGCCACCTTTGACACCCTCACACAAAAAAAAAAAAATGTTACTCTTTATGTTGTTTCGTTAAACATATGCTTATGACGATTTATTAATCGATTAAAAGTCTGTTAATGTCACGATTCAAACAATAGCGACCTACTTTCACCCTTTATAACATGGACCTTTCAAATAATGCGTCACAAACATAAAACAACCATATTTGAATACTCCAAAACATAAACGATACGAGCAATGGATGTATCCGCAGACGACATAAACAGCAATACAGCGTCGCTTCGTCGTAATCATTCCCGATTATGTAGCATAGCGTAAACTGCGATTATAGGAACGTAATGCCCGTTTTCACCATCGAGCCCTGACTTTAAGGGAAATTTAAGCGCTAGTCGTTTTCACCACCGCTTAAGTGTCACGCTTAAGACCTTAGGTGTCCCTTAAAGTTAGGGATCGATGGTAAAAACGGGAATAAGTTTTTTTTATTCTCCGCCTGTAGACAGTCGGATCGATGATCCCCGCCGCTGTGGTTTATAAATGTAAAGGCCACCGAGACGCTTATTAGCCTCGTTACTTCAACAAGTAAAAGAACTTTCGAGGGGCATTCGAGATCGAGAGGAATGGTTCAGCTGCGTCAACTTAACGAGAATCATTTGTGATCGCTGGTTAAAACACGGCCATTTTAACGGCGTCGGTTATATTTGAAAGTGATTTTTATTTATCGTCTTTCATATCGCTAATAAAATATAAAATTAACGGAATATAAAATAAATATAACTTACATATAGCTAGCATAACTTTTAACGAGCAATTCTTTTATTTTATATCAGAAACGGCGCACGATTTTGATCAAATTTTGTATTCAGTTTAGGTTTTGTTTTCTAATTTTATTCAATCCATTTAATTAAATGTTACATAATATATATAAGAACCCCATTTTACTATCACGATAGAATCTGGGCGTTAGACAAACGGATAACAGTAGATACTAATTCGAATCTGACTTGAAGATAGGAAAACAGGCCATTAGACTGATTAAACAATTTCCCTTGCTGTACAATACCAATATCCGTAGGTACTTGTAATACAGTATACATAGTTTCTATAATCTATGTCTATGAATAAATAAACATTAAGATTCAAAATATTCTCAAGGAAAATTTCACTGTATCTGATGTAAATTTCGTTTCTGTGGTCACTTTTAATGACAAACGTTAGAATTGATAAGAAATACAACTAAATGTCACCCAATGTATATCGATCGAACTAGATAACTGACATAACTAAAATAAACTTTTTGATTTAAGCGAACAAAAAAATCGTAATTCGTTTAATTTCCCGAGGAACAAGTTTTGGGTTGCGGTTAATGTGTTATCATAAAAGATATATATATATATATATATATATATATATATATATATATATATATATATACATAGAAATAGGAATAAAATTCGTAACATCCTATACAACTGACTGATTAATACATTCATAGACTTTTTCATTCGTTGCCACAGCGTCGCATTACAATGAACTTTATGTTACAGTTTTATACGTAAGGGTGTTCTAAAATTGTTTGTTTTGGAAAATTTAATAACTCTGTAAATATTGATGTTTAAGGAATGTAAATGTTTAATATAATTTTAAAATGTTATCCTTTATATGTGTGTTCATTTATTGTCGCGGTTGTACCGACACGTTGTATAGTGCACACACAGTATTAAGCCCAAAACATAAGAAATAATAATAATTAAGTTGGGATGTCTAGATACTCTAGATAAATTGACTCTGAAAGCCTGACTTCTCACCACGCCCCGGGTTGACTGGGAGATCCTTGCTTAAGGTAATTGCAATAAAGAATAAATAAATAAATACTAACATTATCGGAATTTTAGGTGATATAATTGTTGATCAATATAAAAATCCATTGTCTCCAATATCACATAGATCCAGCTAAAACGTGAACGGTAGAAAAGTCACGGGTGATCTGTAAGCTTGCGTGTTGGGTTTAAAGTGAAATTGCTATATAATTTTTCGCGCCATTTGCAGGACGAACGCGACGTCAATTTTTGCGACGTGGTTAAGTGGGAAGCCAATACGCGAATTCCAATTTCGGTATTAGATGATCAATAAAGATGTTTTCTATAAATTTCTCTGACATTTTACAAATCTTTAAGACTGCTATAAACGTTTATTAAACCGACATAACATTTATTTCTTTGTCTACACGAGAGTACTATACGCTGAAAAGTAATTTTAAAGCGATAAAAACTGTCCAATTAGATTATTAGTTCAAAAATCCGTTCATGTTCTTGTTAAATAATCAACTCAGAATCCGGTTTTATTTTAGTCTATTCTTCAAAATTCTTTTATTTTATTTCTGGTGTTAAAGTAATCAATTTAAGTAATACCTAATAATATCTTCATGATTAAAAAAGGTCCTTAGAAAATATTGCAGTGGGATTCTTTCAAACTGTCTTAATTAGAGGCAATCAGACAAGTCTGCAGCAAATAAAAAGTCGCGGTAAATCGCATTAGAGGAGCCAAGTGATTCGAGATGAATAGAGAGGAGGGATCCACCGGTGGAATTTTTATTACAACAATATCTAAAGCAAAAACAATAAATTTCTCCGTATATAAATTCTGAATTTCCAGAGTCATCGAAATA